GATGTTCTCAGGCTAAGAGCAAAGTTGATTAATCTAATATAAAAGTATTTGCTCAAGTCTGGTGCACTAATAAATGGTCTCTGAAAAGCAAAAGAACAATGAAGTGCAAAAATTGCAGCTCTATAAGTGCGTTTAGTTCAATTAAAGCCGTTTTATTGTGAAAGGACCTAGGAGGGGTGATTCTGAAAGTGGACTCCATTGAAGATTGGTCTAATGAGGTCGGGCATTCAGAGTTTATTTGAGGAAAATATCAGAACATTTCGTTGTTGTAGTTGTACGATCAGTTGATACAATTAAAGAGAATTATACAAGACTATGGAAATGTTTCGTTGAAAGTTAATTTATCTATCGAAGCTGGGGACCAATACGTCCAGTAATTGTTGTAAATTCAGTTAAATATGTTGTTTATCATAAATAAGTCATTTTAGATCCAACGAAGGCAAATTTTTAAGAAGAAAGTGAATTACGTGGTAAATTCATTAAAATTTGATAATTGTTACATCCTGCGTAGGCCAAGGAATATTGTAATCGAGTCTACTGGATGACTGGCTATTTTAATGTTTTCTCGACGTTTCATGACTCCTAGAGTACGAAAAAATCATCTGTTTGTTTGCCGCCTGTCCCGAAGCTAGTGGTCCGATTATTGTCAAATTTAAAATGTGCATTATGAATATCATGTAGATGGTAAAACGCTAACCAAAATTTAGTTAAACATCCCGACCAACAACAGGATAACGTCATTTCCAAAATTTACATTAGTAAATACGTAAGATATTCCTTCACATGTGGTTTATGAATCCGTCTTCAATTTTTATTATCTCTATTTTTTTTTTAACTACCCCATCATTAAAATAAGTGGTGGTATGAGGACGACAACCATGAACCTCTTTACGTTTTTACTGTTCTTAATGTGTAACTACTTGGACCAAAGTAAAACACTACGCTATTGAATTTACGTTTAGTTATCTGCGAAGCTATTCATAATTTCATCATGTCGTCGCAGCGAGTAATTTACGTATCATAATTGCATGTTCGCATCGCCCACAGTAACAAAATCCGAGAAAGATTTCACAAGAGACAAGCCGTATAATTTTTTAATGACAACCGCTGAAGCCATTCCGCAACAATTAACGTGGGAAGTTTTTTGCTAAAGCGCATGCAGCGGACACGAAAATTTCATCAGGCGAACCATCAGAGGAACCGTCAGTCCTAAAAGCTGAAACACGATAACACAAATATAGAAGACACCGCAACCCTGCAAAAATCACTTATTTCCCATGTGTCAACTGTCACCGAAGAGATATGCGAGTTTTCAGCGGCGGGATAACCACAATTTAAACAACCCGTCGCAATTTCGCAGACTTATTTCATTTGTTTTACAGTGGCGACGTTCAACTGAAAAAGTGCCCTATTCTGGCGGTGGAAAGCTGTCATAAGTTGAAAATGACGCTAACTCGACAGGACATATAGGTTAGTAAATCTGCAATTAAGGTGGAAAGGGTGATTGGACACGGCTAAAGCGGCGTTTAGATCTGCCGGTTACACTACCGGTTTCTGATAGGTTCCTTTTTTGTCGGTGACATGTGCTAGGCGTTCCTGACTTGTACAGTGTCATAGAACATTTTAAACAATTAGTGTAGAAAATTATCCTCTTATTCTGATTTTTGGGATTAGTTATACAAATTTACTCGGCAGAGTATATCACATACGTAATTTAGCCTCACGTTAAAAATGGCAGGTTAAATTACTTAATGAACGCAAAGTTAAAAAACTACACGTGGTGTATAAATTATTTACACAAAGGGGTAAAGGATATCACGTTGCGTGCAAGTTTGGCGTAAGATTCTACATGTAATGAACTTTACATTTGAAAATGTAATCTACTAAACGTACTTACTTTACACGCTAAATTCATTATTAAAATTTACAGTTACTGTAAAAAATAAATACTAATAAATTGACAATATCACTAAATAAAAATTATTCAAGTGCTTATCACTTATCAGTATAGTAGCCAGTGCACAAGCCTCTAAACGCAGCTTTAATAATAGGCTTCGACGAACAACCTACGAACTAGGTGCACTGCAGTATGAACAGACACCGCATCGAGTACGTCGATGTTCACTTGCAAATAGGACGAATAGGATGCCTGTTATCCTTTCTCTATCCTGTAGGACATTACTGCAGAGGCACGTACATAACCCGACACTGAAAAACCTATTTGTTTGTCTACACTGTTTGTAAATTGCTTTCGAAACGTCGATGATGCAAAATAAAATTCCTGCCCATTGTGACAACAGAAAGGACGTTAGAGTTGCTGAAATATTGAGAGGTTCAGTAGTGCAAACTATTACGTGTTAATGCATTCAGAATAGGGAAGTACGAAGTCCATCAATCACTCGTGCCATCAAAAATGGGCAATTATATTGTCGTTAAGAACGTGCATGGGATTTTGATAATTTCAGAATTAACAACGTCTGAGTAATTATTTTTGATGAGCATTATTATTGTGGTTGTTTCGGAAGGATAATTTAGATTAGAACTCCATTTTGGAATTAGTAAGTCAAGAGATTAGTTCCAGATTTTTTACAGTACATATAGCAAGAAACGATCTATTTTTTTATGAGAAGAATACACTACTTGTACATAAACAAATAAAATTTGACATATGTTTAAACATTAACTTTTCAAATAACAGTGTAGTACATTTAAAATGATTTAATTTGACACATTACACCATGCTTTGTCGAAAAAATTACATAACGACGGGTCTGGGCTTCCATTGTATTGCCTGATTATCATGTTATTGGATCCAAGGAAAAGGAAACTAAAATGTTGACCGAAAGACCGAATGATTCATCAATACATCCAGTGACTTTTTGAAACAAAGCTTTAAGAAAACATTTCATCTGTTCGAGATGATGATGAAAGACGATTTTACTTAGTTTTCATAACATTTCCCATGATACATGATGTGCACGAGAGGAGTGTATAAACAAATTTTTTAGTGGATATGCAATCAGTGTTTAACATATAAGCAGACACATTTTGTGACAAAGTTCTTCCACAAACTCCATAAAAGTCAAAGAGAATTTTAAATTCTCCACTAGCGATTTTTCACACGAGGTCGATAAAAATTACGTACATTGAAGCTTCATCCAACTTAAAATCCTTATTACCTGCTTGGAATAGATCAGAAGTCGTCCATAAAATCAGGCAATTCAAATCTCTGAATTCGATTGAAAGTTGAATGTTTGTCTTTAATTAAAAATAAATATTTCATCAGTTAGAAATGAAGAGAGAAAACAGAATGAAATCATTGGATCTCCCAAATTGACTTTATACGACCTGTCGACACTAAAACAGACTTACGTCTATTGTTGAGCTTCACACTAAGCTTTTGATGACTTTAATTAAAAGGTAAGAGTTTTAGTTTATGACAGGTGACAGGCGGACAGCCAATTACAAACATGTAAATGGAGGATGCAGGAATGCATTTTGCATTGTAATACTGTGAATTGTGTATGCGGACTTGATGTATGTATCTACATTGTCATTAGGAATTGTAAATACTACACTAATTTCCTACGTGGGCATGTGTATAATACCAAAATGTAAAAAAGAAAGTCGTCATGAATGCAGCTCCTTGTGATTACGTAACACAAAAACAACCGAACGAAATTTACATAAAAATAAAGTCCCTGGTATACTACATACTTAAGATAAAGAAAGATGTTTGGTTGTAAATACTATCAAAGCTTCGTTTGATCTTCCTCGGGTCAAACAATAACAACCAACCTGACCTAGTTGATTATTTCTTTCCGCACAGTAAGCGATCAAGGAGTGTACTGTCGTGCTAAAAAAAGGTCTTGTTATCACTTCTGGCCAATATAAAACCGGCGGAAGTTAAAAAGAACAGTGTACTCGTGAGCAAGATTGATGCCTTCTGATTTAATTAAGCAGTCTGCGACACGTCTCGCAAAAGAAACAGCAAAAGTAAGAAAGCGGAAGTTTCCTTTTGTTGTTTTTCGTCGGCGATCTCGTTTTAAGCACTAATTTCAAGCACCTGCTAAAGTAAAAGCGATCAATAACCTCCTATCAGAAATAAATTACAAAGATCGAGTTAAAGTCAAGTTAGTTCGTTCGTTTAAAAATCTCCGACATTTAATCGCTTACAGGATCTTACTACTCGGTAGTATTTTCTCCCAGGTTTTTACACTGGCGCGTTATACAAGCGCATGCAAGCATGTTATCTAGGCAAACAATCCAGGAGCAGCTTCAACGTTTCTGTCAATAAAACCGGGACTTGGGCAGCTGTTCCTTCGAAAACCTTTCGTTTATGGTGGGCATTAATATACATAAAGATTGCGAAAGCATTAAACCTGTTGAGGTGGAAGATTTTTTACGGGAGGCCATAAAGCGAAATTATCGGTTGTGGATCTTTACATAAAGCGGCAACTTCTTGAAATCAAGCATCTGTTAATATCCGCAATATGCAGTAAAGCAGTTGGTGCGGCACAAGCATCTTGTGTGTTTGTTTATTAAAGTATAGTGTCTTTGTGGATGGCTACTTTCAAACTATCGTAACCGTAACAGCGTGGTCGCATGTTTGCATGCACATGGTAAATTCAATCTGCTGGGATATTGCCTTAGAACCTGACCTCTTGTGCATTTCAATAGAAATGAAGCTACAAATACTTGGAAACTTGGGAACTTATCCAAGTTTCAAACCGAGCACGATGATAGTGGAGGAAGAGGATATTGTTGATTATGCACACAAGCGAGTTTGCTTTTAATTGTTCCCCGACTTATACTTACTCAAACAGTAATAGAAATTTGAATGTTAATACTCATTTATAAAGTATATTCACCTAAGTAAATACTGTTTCGCCGAATTCCGTTTACTTTCATTTAACCCGTTGAGTAAAAACCGGCTTTTATACATTTTCAGCGGACAATTATGCTACATAAACAGAAGAATAGATAACGGTTCTACTTACCATTGGGAGGAAATTCGTAGAAATAGGCCGACCGTGGACTCAGACATCTGTAACAACAATATTAAAAACCATTAAACTCACATTCAAGCAATTGGCTCAAGTTTGCCCAACTTTGCACAAACTCATAATGGACACACCCTATCATAACCGTTCGCTACCTCGCATGTTATAACTCTCTTCCACCAAATTAGTAAAAAAATCTAATACACTCAGGTTTTAATGTCTCTATCCGTTTAATTTATTACGGTTTACGTTGATAACGTTTGACTTGACAAATGTCTGCAGGGCGTTCACTAATTCTGTGTCGACCTCATGAACTGTGAAGATTTAGCATCCAGCTGAAGTTATGAGAAAACGCAGTGGAACGTCATCCTTGGCAACAAAAATTCAAACAAAACTTATATAGATTTTAATTAAAATTTCTTTTATGACAAACAATAAGTTGCTACGAAATACTCTGTAAGTTACTGCACCTTGTTGACTTTAGTTTATCTTGAAATGGAAATTGCTATTTTGAATCACAGACGGCAATGACAACAATAAGGAGTATTTACATTGCTCTTGTTATTTATTTCTTAATTGGAAAAGAGGTTTTCCAGACATTAAGAGAAAACAAGTCTTTCTACTATGCTATTACTAAATGCTTATCTAATTATCTAAATAAAGTGTATAGTTATGACGTTCGTTGAACATTGTTTTTTTTATATTTTCTGATATTTTATTTTATGTGGTAAAAGTTAATTTTCCACAGCTAGCGCTACAAAATACGTACCTATCTGCGCGAATCGTTAACACATTACCACTTATGTTGTATTTGTGCCATAATCATATCTTCTTTTTTCTTAATTAATGGACTTGTTTAATTCATAACTTAATAGCAACTACTATTTGTTTTATTCTCCATAAATGATTTTACATATAAATTTACCTAAAGACAGTGATCTCAATGCAACGCTAGGTCCTAATGATGATAATCTGTGATCTTTGCAATTAATCTTTATTAGGAACTACAGTCTGACTTGTCGTTTGGTAAATTATGTAAAGTCCAATTTCTTCTGCAAAACATTTATAATCAAGTAAATATAGCATAGGATAGCATAGTCCCTTTGAAAGCTTGACGAGTTATGTTGTGCTTGTTTGTGGACATAATTCTCACGGGAAAATGTTGTTTGCAATACAGATATGTAGGTATCAGACTTTATTTTCATAATGGATTCAGAGACACTGTTATGTGATTATAAATTTTAAACGTAACTATTTATGGTACAACAAACACATTTAATAAATTAACGTCTAGCTATTTTTGTTTAAAAAAAGGTCGGGTTAATTACTATGAAAGTTTGTAACAAACTGCTAGCCACGTAGTAGCGGTCTCTTGTATGCAATTTTCTGAAGAAATAAAAATTGGTTCCCAATGATAATCTCTAAAGGATTTTCATGTGTTAAAATTTGGTACTGTAGATTCACTACATATTTGTTTGACGAGAAATTTTTATGAAAAGTAATGATGGTTTACAAACCACAGTGTAGGTGCATATGGTTTTATACTTACATTTTAAATATGAATTATTCAGCAAATTTTTGAGGTGACGTCATCAATATTTTGATGAGGATGGATAGACAAATTTTGGTTAGTGATCTGTAAAGCTGATGATAATCTTATCTCAAAGCATGTGCTAAATTTTAGAACAGTTGGTTTAATAGATTTTAAAATAAACTGCAAGATTTTGTGGTACAATTTGAAAGTTTTTCCAAAAATCTAATGTCACAAGTGTAGACGCATAATGATTTGCGTATTTTAGGACGATTAATATAGTAAAATTCCAAACCGCCGTCATCAACGTCATTTATTGTTAACGAATTTGCAAAGTTTCAGAACAATCTTCAAAACAAATTTTCGAAATTTCTTGAAGAATGTCTCTAAAGATCTAGATTTCGAAGGTAAAAATAAAAGCGGATTAAGAAACCACAGCTGTAGAAGTTATTATCATATAAAACCTAACAGTCGAGTCAATGAAGCTTAAACAATCATCAAAATCTCGTAATTCTCAGAAACAAATACCACTTTTTTAAAATTAAATGATTTTTTTTTAATCTTTAGTTTAACATATTGTTCGAAATCAGAAACATTGCTAAACATGCGCTTAGATATTTATATTGTTCAAATAATAATAGTTAAATATGTAAAAGTATTATTTGGGCGAAAATCAAAGCGGTTCTAAGTTTTTCTTAATATTTGAAAAATTCGTTTAGTTTTAATTTAATAGTAATCGTTTTAAGTGTTGACAGTAGTACAAATTTTTCCATATTTAAACTGTAAGTCCTTGGTGTGTATATACTTGATGTTTAGTTGCAAATGCAACAAAAAAGTTTCAATAGCATCTGCAATATCGTGTTGTTGTTCCTGCAATATACAAGAAATAAGAAATTTTGAAAAAAACATAGGAAAATAACATGTGGAAAATAAACACAAAAGAAAAACGTACAAAAATATTGATGTAAGCAAAAAAGCATTATGCACTTCAAAAACGACAAAGTATGTTTATAGTACAATAAATTCAATAAAAGATAATGCTGAACTATAAAGATTATGATAGCGACTTTTTATTTAAAATTAATGAACAGACTAAAAACACGTATAATTGACTATAATGATTGAAAAATTCAATGACAAGTCACATTACGTTGTAAATAATTTTCTTTGTAGTGATTTGTACACTTCAATTAATTGTACAATTTTTTGTTAACTTTAATCACAAAAAAGTTCCTTTAAAAAAATAAAAACACAATTGAATTCACTTTATAAAGTTAAAACATGTATCTACGTTCACTTCGAAAAACGTAAGAATACTTAGTGCGTCTGGAGGAATATGGGAAAACTGGTCAAGAGTTTGATCAGTATTCTCTTATTCCCATTTGGAGTTAAACCGTGAATTTATTTACCCAGGGATAATTAACGTGCACAACAAAATTCGTTTCTGTCTTAGGTGTTCATAAAAATTTAGAACCGTATTAACTTTCGCCGTAAAAAGACTTCAGTAGCTCATATTAAAATTTGTATTGAAAATTTTATAATTTCTTTACTCAAAGAATAATTATTTTCACGAAAAAAAAGTTATTTATGTATTAAGGGCATAATTATGGAGATTATGGTTACAAAGGAGGGCTTTTAATTTCCCAAGGGCCACAATCGACAATTATGCCCGTGGTACATCCAACGTTTTATTTTATTTTAGTTTCTAAAATATTTTTAACGAAATATTGAGTATTTCCGGCAAGATTGTGTGAATTGAGCCGATGCAAACTTTAATATATAGCTGTTTGTTTGTTAAATAATTCGATTTTTAAAATGCAAACTGAAGAAGGGAAAAACGTTTATTCAAAAGAAATTTTAGAAGAATTTGAAGTCAGGCCAGGTCATGATTTGATGAAATAGTATTTTCCCAATTTTAATAAAAATGTTGAATATCGAAGCTTATTTGAATAATTAATTAATGCAAATGAATAATCAATCGTTGATTAGCAATTTTTGACTGATTTGTGCCATAAAGGCGAATTTATGCCCTCATTTGAGTGCTTATAAACAAGATTATGATTCTAAAATAGAATAAACATAAATAAATTACATGATTTTTTACAACTTTTTAAACAATATAAATAGCTACGTCTACCCTTTACTGTGTTACTGATTTGAAGTAATATATTAAATTATACATTAAAAAAAAAACATCAAAATTGTATATGTTGCTGAGAGTTATGAGGTAAGATCCTTCATTGACTCGACTAAAATTGAATTTATTTTGCAAAATTCCACATCAATCGATCAATATTTTTTAAAGATCATTTATCTGTATAATAGAATAGCTGAAACTACTGGGCCGATTGTTGTCATTAACGTGTCTTAAGAATATTGTGCAGATGGTAAAACGATTACCAACATTTGTCTAATCGTCTTGATTAACAATTTGGAGACCTCCTCTCCATTTTTTTTTAGTAGACGTCATTTAAATTTAAAAAAATTACATATTCCTATACTTGTAGTTTATGATTCCGCCTTGATGTTTTACCTTAAAAAATCCTAAATGCATCATCACATTTTATACAAGTATAAGAACTATTATCGACGCATTCATAGTGTTGGAGTAATTGTTTGACCGTATACCCGATTTCTCCGAACTCCGCGCCATACCAAATATAAACAAGTTCGACCAATTTTTTACGTAAATGTGTAGTAATGGTTGAAACGTGATTTTTTTTAATAACGTTATAATAAATTGGTGGGATAATTTTCTTTATGGAAGGCACTCAATTTAAATAAATAATGAAATATCCATCACATATTATGATTGAGATAAGTCTAAATCAAGTTTCTGCGGGCGACGTTGTGGGAAGAATTTAGTCGAGAAATTTGCATTATCCCGTTAAAAAAATGGCCGTAACGAAGATATTAAATCGCGCTGGAGGTGGAAATAATCCGTATAGAATCGCGAAGTCGACGAAATGGGTGTTGAAGAGGTTCACGCCAATGAGGATCTTCAATCGCGTTTTATTTTATTGAAGTCGTTACGTAGCGCACATTTTGTTAAAATGAGAATATAAAACCGCCGGGGTTGCGCTTGCCGACTTTTACGATTCTTTCAGTTATTTATTTATATAATTATATTACAAGATATAACAGGCGGAGAGGAAATCGCCACTATTTCTGCCGTAGTCGCCTTTTTTAATCATATCCTTAAACAAAGCCTCCGCACAGCAAACAGAAGCAGTCAAAACGACATTATGAGATTTTCACCGCAGGATATCACGCTCTGATTGGGATTCTTCTAACGGTGCCTCATAACTTCTGTCGCAATATCAATTAAGGGCCCCTGAATTCGTATTTGTTCGCCAAAAACGTGCCATAAAGCTTATTACGTGACGCGGACCGATTGTGGAGCTCTGCCTGCAAGAGTTACGAACTTGGCTCACACGTAACCATCAAACCGTATTTACATTGAAGAGTAAATATGGAATTATTATTGATGGTATTGAGAGTCGAAACGGCGAAAGCATCCAGACTTCCAAGACTTTGGTAATGGATACGTGTACGCTAGTCGCGAGATGGCAATTTTGATTTAACGAGCAAATAAGGAAATAGAGACAAAGAAAATGCCAGAGCTGACGCAGGCTTTCATTTGTAACGAATTACCAATCAAACGTTTGTCCCAGATGCTCTTCCGAATAAATTAAACGTTGAACTTCTTCGAGAACACAAATTAGAAGTCTTTGCCAATTTAGCGCACCATAAGAATATCCCTCCTTTGATGCCCCGATTGATGTATTGCAGATTAAAACATAGTGATATTTTTATTCGATATGTAAAATTGAACTAGGGCTTACGATAAACGAGTTGGTGAAGAACAGGTGTAATAATTACAATAAATAACCTATTGTGCGTTTCGGTTTGACTTAGCAGCGTACAAAAGCAAAGCGTTTTAAATGGGAGAATTTGCGGCGATGTTGTCAATTATCAAAAACCTACCGATTTCTGAAGAAGTTAATACATGAATCTAAGACAAATTATCGTAAAACTTTTTTAATTCCGCTTCTATTCGTGTTAAAATTTGATTTTTGTATATTGAAATTTCTTAGTAAGTCGAATTGTTTCTTATATTTTCGTAATTTCAAAAACTATTCAAAATCCTGTCTTAGTTTTTTAACTGTAATATAATCAAACACTACCGATTTTAACAGTGTAACTTTTTAATGTGCTGGTGCTTCTAAATTTCTATCAAAAACATTTTTCTTTGTTCTTTACACAAAAGGTGGATTGAAATTTTGAACATGGCACTTTTTTTATTATTGAAGATTTTAAAGTCAATCAGTGGCAAAGTTATAGCGTATGGTTTGAAATAATTCTCTTTATGTACTTATATAAGTCGTCTTTAGAATTGAAACCGCACGTCTTCTCTGAAATGATATGTAGTGGAAACGTTACGGAGCTAGATTATAAACAGATTTTCCACTGAGGTGGAGAGCTGTTGGGTTTGCAGAATTACCTCTTTCTTTTAAGCAATAAACCGTGGTGTGTAAAATCCACGTTATTTGACAGCGAATTGCCAAGTAGAACTAAGTATGATGATAAGATCAAAGATTTTTCGTACTTGAACGTAAGCTAAGAAAGTGTTGTAATCGAGTCCATTGGACAACTGGCTACTTTTATGTTTTTTCAACGTTTCATGACTCCTAAAGTTCGAAAAAATAGGCCTGCCGTTTCCGTCTGTCTGTCCAAATTTTTATTATGAATTCGTATGCAGTTTTTACCCTAAATATCCACATTATTGGAAAAAAATCAAAATTCTAAAACAACATTTTGCAATTTAACTTTGAAACTGCAAAACCGAATGTTCTGAAGTCTTGCAAATGTTTTAAAGTTATTGTAATGATGGCATATTGTTAATCAAAATTTATGTGTTTCCTCTCTACCAAAAAATTGATGACGTCATTTCAAAATTTTGCTGAATTTTATTGCTCTCTGAAATATGCGAAATATTATGATTCTATAAATGTGGTTTATCATAACACTCAGGCTACTCATACAGGGTGTCTAAAAAAACTCTAATAAAAGAGGCAATTTATTGTATTGACTAAAATCAAGAACGCTTGACTCAACTTTCCCAAAAATTTGAAAATGCAGTACTGTTATTACATATTATTGCAAAAATGTTTGTCACAAAAAATTTTGTAATGGAAAAACTCACTTGAAACAAAAGCAGAGCACCATTCTCTACATTTATTTTAACATTATATACATTTCTTTATTTTAAGGGTTATCATCAAAAATAAAATTTGCGAAATCAATTCTTCTATTTTTTCGAAAAATCTGGATTTATTATCATCGACCAATTTTTGATATTACAATTTTTCGTTTTTTTAATTTTAATTATTTTAATTTTTCAATACTACAATTTTTCATTTTTCAGGTTCTCAGTTTTTAATGTTTCGATTTTTAATTTTTTTCTTGTTTTTTAATTTCCTTTATATTTTGTTTCAATTTTATAATATGTCCTTTATATTTTCTTTTCAATTTTGCAATATTTCGTTTATTCAGTTTTTCAAAGTTAAACTCTTGGATTTTCCTATTCCTCGAGTTTCCCATTTTTTAATTTTTCAATTTTGCATTTTTTTAATTTCGCTATACGATTTTCCGATTTCTTTAATTTTCAATATTTCGCGATTTCGATTTTGCACTTTTTCGATTTTTAGTTTGTCAATTTTTAATGTTTCGATTTTTCAATTTTGCAGTTTTTCCATTTTCTTGATTCGAAAAATTGAAAAATTAAAAATCTAAAAGTTAAAAATCGCGAAACAACTAAAAAAACGAGAAATTGCAAAATCGAAAACGTGGAAAATCGAAAAATTGAAAATCGTCAAAATTGTACACTAAAAAAACTAACATTGAAAAACAAAAAATTGAAAATTTGAATATGGAGAAATTCAAAGATTAAAAAGTGAAAAATTGAAAAATGGAATAAATAAAAAATGTTCAAAATCCAATAAATTGAAAATGGCAAATTCTAAAATCGCAAAACTGACACAGTGAAAACTAAAAAAAATGTAACAATTATTACATATTTAAAATGTAAACTAGAAAAATTGCAAATTAAAAATCGAAGAAACGAAAAATTGAAAAAACTAAAATTGAAAAGACGAAAAATTAAAAAATATGAAAACTCGGTGCATAGGAGCGCAATTAAATATTTAATTGCGATTAAATTTTCAATACGGCGTTAAAATACCATGTGGCCGACCTACGCCAATCAGACGTTGCTAAATGCCGCGTTTACTGAGTGATTCAGTTAATCAGAATATTCTACAAACTGGCCTAAAAAGTTGAAAAACCAAATATTTTAAAATTGAAAAACTGCAAATCGTAAAAAATTAAAAAATCCAAAAATTAAAAAATTTCACAATGAAAAAAAGGAAAAAAACTGTAAAAATGAAGAAAATGAAAAGCCGGAATGAAAAATTGCAAAGGAAAAATTTGGATAAAATGAAAAATTAAACAATCGAAAAATTGAAAAATTAAATATGGAGAAATTCAAAAATTAAAAAGTGCAAAACTGAAAAATCGAATCCCTAAAAAAGTTTCAAAGTCCAATAATTGAAACAGTGGAAAATTAAAAAATAGGTAATAATTATTACGTATTCAAAATGTAAACTAGAAAACAAAAATCGAAAATCGAAGAAATAAAAAACTGAAAAATCGAAAAAGTAAAAAATCTAAAATTGAAAAAACCAAAAATTAAAAAACCTAAAGACTTGGTTTACAGAAGCTCAATTAAATATTTCGTTGTGATTAACGGCATTAAAATACCGTGTAAAATGTGACCGACTCTACGCCAATCAGACGTCCCTAATTGCCGCGTTCACTGCGTGATTAACTTAAACAAAATATTGTATAAAGTGGCCCTAAAGGTTGAAAAACAGAATAATTTAAAATTGAAAAACTGCAAATGGTAAAACTGAAAAATCCAAAAATTAAATTTCACATTGAAAAAAGGAAAAAAATGTAAAATTGAAGAAAATGAAAAACCGGAATGAAAAATTACGAAGCGAAAATTTGAAAAAAATAAAAATTAAAGAACCGAAAAATTTAAAAATTAAATATAGAGAACAATCTCATGTTCGACCATGGTGGGACAATTTGATGTTCTAAATAAAATAAAATAACCAATGGTCCTTAGCTCTTACTTTATTAAACTTTAAAAAGTGAAAAACTGAAAAATCGAAAAATAAGTTTCAAAATTCATAATTCAATAATTGAAAAATTCTAAAATCTTAAAATTGAAACAGAGGAAATTAAAAAAAATTTCATAATTACTCCTATTGTATATTTAAAATGTAAACCAGAAAAATTGAAAAATCGAAAAATGAAGAAACGAAAAATCTTAAGACTGGGTTTACAGAAGCTCAGTTAAATATTTAATTGCGATTAAATTTTTAACACGGCGTCAAAATACCATGTGACCGACTGTACGCCAATAAGATGTCGCTAAATGCCGCGTTCACTGCGTGATTAACAATCAAAATATCTATTATATAAACTGGCCCTAAAAGTTGAAAAACCGAATATTTTAAAATTAAAAAACTGCAAATCGTAAAATTGAAAAATTCAGAAATTAAAAAAATTCACATTGAAAAAAGAAATAATATTGTAAAAATGAAAAACCGGAATGAAAAATTGCAAAGCAAAAATTTGAAAAAATGAAAAATTACTGAATCGAAAAATTGAAAAATTCAAAAGCAAGAAAATTGAAAAATTGAAGAAATAAAAAAAAGATAAATTCAAGAATTGAAAAATGCAAGTCAAAAAAACTGCCGGATGTTATTTACGTCACTGGTTTTTAATTAATAGAGGCTACTCAGAAACAAAAATCACAGAAAAATTTCATAATTTTTCAAAAACTTCTGTCAAAATAACTTTCGACCAATTTTTTGTTTTCTTCTGTGCGATGCACTAAACAGTAAAACGCGGTCTTTAACTTTATCACACTATAATTTTCCATTAAATATAATAAGTACCCCACTTCTGGGCTATACTCACGTTTGATAGTTGTGCTGGTGTTGTAATAATAGTGGTTGATGACTCGTAGGCGCTGGTCCCATTAACCTTTGCTGCTGCTGCCTCGCGATTTGCGCTCCAAATACTCCATATCCAAAGCCGTATATTTCGTCTTCCTCTTTATCACTCAAACAACTCGAAGGCTGAAACGAGGCAACGAAATTAAATTGCATTATCCTCTGCGAAAGTGGAATACAAACTTATGCACGAAGAATGGTTAATTATTCACATAGTACAGGAATTTCTAGCAACGGAGTAAATCATTTTAATAAACTCTGAGGGTTACGTACTGCCGAGTGACTTTAAATTTTCTTTACAATCTAAATAATAGCCACACATTTTGAGGGTTAATTAAGTTTAAGCACCGTTTTGAATATGTATGAGAAGGAATAGAATTCGCGTAGTAATAACCTTAACATGACTTAAAATCGTTTGCGTTATTTAAACCCATTTTCGGCTTGCCTTAAAGCAAAGGCGTAATTAAGGTCCTGTAACAATGTTTTACGACAACAACGAATAACAAAGATGAGATAAAATGTTTCCACTATAACTAAATTGTTTTCAACTTTTGGTGAAGTTCCTGCCTGGATAAAGTAAAAAAATAATTAACAGTTTTTGGATTGTTAATTAATGTAGATAATTACTTTATTACCAAACTTTTTTAAGTACCCTTTGTTCCAAGTAACAATAAATTCTTTCTGTAAACACAGAAAACAGAGAACTGGCAAGTCGACGCACCGAACAGTGCAAAAACTGCTACAATTAATGACTAAAATAAATGAGGTTGTTAGATTAAGAAAACAAATTCACTATATACAAAGAAACATCTGTCAACGATTACTGCAATTACTTTAAACGCTTTGAACTTAATAAGTCAAAGAAAAGTCTATTGTGGCCGTTTAAGAGTTTTATTAATTACAGTTCTACTCCTGTTTTACGAAGGAAATAGGTTCGTAAAGTTCATGGCTTATAACGTAAACTTGTGGCTTTTTAACAGCTACAAGACTATAACTTCTCCAATGTTACGTTGATTACCATATTCGATAATTTAGTAACAAATAGTTCCAATTTTTCGACCAAGAAATAGATGCAGCGAATGAACAATTATTGGAAAAAATGTTTCCTTATTTTTAAATTTTTTTACAATGTTCAGTTTTTTCATTTAATATTTAATTAAAATATAACATAGGACAGAGGTGTAAAATATGAAAATTATGAAGTCTGGTAAGCATCTCATTGTTATAATAGAAGATATTTATCAGGATTTCCACCCTAGCGGCTGCCTTCTAGGAACCGGACCTAATTTCAGAATTGTGGATTAGAAATCAAAAAGTACCTCCCATATATGAATAACGAAACTTTCGTGGCATTTAATAAATATTTCCAACATCACAAAGCATGATTTCAATCAAAAGTTAAATGTTGTTTTTAATTCCAAATTCTAGGAAAGAGAAAAAACTAAATTCAATTTCATCTCCACGGAAACCGTCGACTCAGTTTAATAAAAGAATTTTTTAGTACATTTTAAATTAATTAATTCTTACGTGGAATTGAACAGCCAGATATTTTAGGACGTTCGATTCTGTTTGCTATAACATGGATTTTGAATTGTATGTATTAATTATTCTGCAGACAGTGGAAATAGAGCACTTTTCCATATTTCATTCGATGTTTAATGATGATGTGTATTGATCGGGAAAAGTTTTTACAAAATGCTTTCAATTAGAAATATGGATAAAATTATCTCCCTATATAATTTAGATTAGAATTAATACAATAAAATAATAAATTTACATCCTTATGAAATGAAATTTGCAGTAACTGTTAACTCAAAATTGTTTTTTCGGAAGAATGATCATGAGTCTCTTTGCTTTTTTCCGCGACCGTGAGAGGAATCTAAAGCAGCAGACAAGGTAAAAATAAAGGTGGAATAATAGACAATAAGTGCAGAAATGTGCCGTTTTATAAAATTTAAGTAGAACTGCCCTTATAAAACCTTTAGGCGATGTCGTCAAATTGTTGGTGGGATGATCAGATAAATTTTGCGATCTACACGATATCATTAAACTACACCTAAATATATTTCACAACACTAGATTCGGAGATTATCTGTCTAATAAAATCGTCAACAGACGACATGAAGTTAGGTGGAAATGGGACATCTACTTTTTTATATTCCAGGAATTACGAAACGTCGCAAAAATATTACGTTAGCTACTTGTCACGCGAATCGTATTACAATACTTTCCTAATTTAAGCTCCGTTAGTAAAAGGAGAAAAAAGCTGACAGTTAGATTCTTTGATTTTGAACGTATGGAGAAATATAATAAATAATTTATAGACTGTCAAAATTACAGAATTTCAAAATGAATGAAAATCTTAGGTATAGATTTTCGACTTGAATATATTTGTTTGAAATATAGGTTCCAGGGACAACGGATTGTTAATTTTCAACACTTATCCTTAGGATATATTTTCTCTATGATAACATCAGAAATTAGATCGGCTGAGAATTACACTAAATTAAAAAACTACAAAAACTGAGGAAGTGTTGTAATCGAGTCTATCGGGTGATTGGTTACTTTCATATTTTCTGGATGAGTCATGACCATGAGCTCTAGAGTACGAAAACATAGCTCTTCGGTTTTCGTCCGTCTGTCTGTCTGTCTGTCCGCTGTCTGTTCGATTTATGTTAAACAGATAATCTCCAAAACTAGCAGACCGATTGGCATCAAGTTTTATATTGTGTTATGAGTATCATGTACATCGTAAAACCCTATCCTAAATTTAGCTAATCATTTCTACCAACAATGTGATGACGTCAGCTTAAAATTGCACATATTTTATGGGTTCCAAATTGTATAAAATAACATACTCCTACACGTGTAGTTTATGAATCCGACTTGAGTTCTTGCTTGAAACATCCAGATTTTTTGAAAAGAATGAAATTTGCATAACAACGTTTTGAAATTTAATTTTGAATCTAAAAACCGAATACTTTGAAATCTGGCTGACGTTTTAGACTTATCGTAAGCATGGTAAATTTTTAATCAACATATATTTGTTTATCACCTCCAAAAACTGACGACGTGATTTCAAAATTATGCCCAATAAACGCTCTCTGAAAGATCAAAAATATAATGGGTCTATACTTGTGTTTTGGCACTGCATACACATTTTTTACAATTGCTTAGACAGGCTACTCAAAAAAATTAATGAATGAGTCAACTTATTTTATTGATTAAATCAGGAAAGGCTCCCGAAAATTTGGGAATACAATATTGTTATTCACAAAATTTTGTAAACGAAAAACTCATTTGAAACAGACACGTAACACGCTCCTTTCCATTTACTTTAGCACTACATACAATCTTTTTTTCAACTTAACAAAATCAAATTTTCTAATTTTTAGAAAAAGGTGGATATGTTCTGTCGTACTTTAGAGGTGAGGGAAGTTCTATCGAAATAACCTTCGACCAGTTTTTTACTTTCCGAGTGTAAACGCAGCAATAGGTATTTTTTGGTACGAAAAAATAGGTCATCTTTTCCGTGGATTTGTCGTCTGTCTGTCTGTCTGTCTGTCTGTGTATATTTTTATTAGACAGATAATATCGAAAACTACTGCATAAAACGTTAAACAGTATTTATCTAATCATCCTCGCCAACAATGTGAACGCGTTACCTCAAAATGTTTACATTTTACAAAATATTTTCTGTAGAATTTGAAGGAATTTTCAGAGACACCAATCTCGGGGGACCCTGATGTTTCATTGTTGAAAAAAAATTAAAGATGTGGGAGGGCCCTGATACGCTGCTTTTCTCTTGTTGTTAAAAGAATTTGGAAAAACACAAGAGGTTTTTTTGGAAGAATTTGAAAATCACAAGGTCTTTCTTTTTGAAGAATTTGGAAGAATCACGAAGGTGTCCCTAGTGATATGTTTTCTGAAAAGTTTGAAAGAATTTCCAGGGCCGCTGCCGTTTTATTTTGTTGAGGAACTTGGAAAGTATTTTGGAGTTCCCGGCTGTTTTATTGTTGACAGAATTTGAAAGAATTTCGGGGGCCATGATGTTTTGCTTTCGTAAAGGTTTTGAAAGCATGTCACGAGCTCCTATTGTTTCATTTTTTTGAAGAGTAAGATAATCATAATAAATCGTTAATCAAAATGTATCTGTTTATCCCTTCCCAAAAAATGCATGGCATCATCTCAAAATTTTGCCGAATAAATCCTATCTAAAATAAATAGTCTATACTTTTGGTTTATGCATGCATTCATACTTGTTTTTGAATTGCTCACTAAAAAAAACTTAACCTAAAGGATGAGGAAATTGAATTTATTGATCAAATCGTTTTCTCGAAAATTGATTACACACATATCTTTATTTTAACATTTAGAGGTTATAAAAAAATACAATTCGTAATATCAAATGTTACAATTCTACAGCTAGATATGGTGTACTGTACTTCAGGAGTAAGGGAAATTATGTCTAGATAACCTCCGACCAATTTTTTAAAACAAATAATTCCAAAACTACCGCGTTAATTACCCGCTAGTATGTTTATGAAAATGTTGTTTAGCAACTGTTATTTTACGTAAAAATATTCCAAATGCAATTCTACAATTGTTAATTATAATTTGTATTATTACTAATTATTACCGATTTAAAACAAATATTTGTGCAATGAGTTCAAATGTTGACAATCTGTAGATCACAAAATATTATATGAAATTTATTACGTAGTGAAGAGAATATTTATTAATTTACCACATGTGTACACCCACATTGTATTGTATTAGTTAAATTTGTATTAAAATAAAGTTTCACCTTCAAAAATACTACACTAATAAAACTCTTAGCTAAACGGTATAAACATATGTAACAATTGTAAATAAAAAAAATATGCTTCAGCTGAAGTTTTAAGCGTGTAAAGCTCACAACCAATGCATTTTATATCAAAGATTTCGTAAGTTTGTTCTTTTGAGGAATATCCACTACACGACAAATTCATCCAAATTTTGCACATTTCAGAATAGTGCTGTGGTGTTCGACTGATTCTCATATGTTTATTTTTTTTTAATTTTCGTATTATTTTAAGTAATATTTTCTAACATTTGAAATTTTTCAGATTTCGACACACTCTTCTAGTTTTTCAGTAAAAATCTATTTAAAAACCATTAGTCATAATAAATAGATTTTTATGTTAAGTTTAAGTACCCAAACTAGAGTACATATCAGAAAACGAATGGTGATTAAGATTATTATAAGTGGAATTTCCTAAAATCGTTTGCACAAAAGCTCTCCAAAGTAGTCAAATTTTGAAAGAAATGGAATTTAGAAAATCCTTGATCAACGGCCATACAAGGTTGTTACCATAGTAGTCACGTTTCCATGTGAACCAGTTTGTTGTCAATAAATAAACACAAACAATTTTGTCATTTTTCTGTGTCTTTTCTTTGATTGCAAAATGGAAGAACTTTCGACGAAAAATCAAAATTTAAATGTTGATTTTGGGGACTCAAGAGGTTTTCAAAGGAATTATTTTAGAAAGCGTAGGTATACATACATATCAAAATGTAATTTTTATTGCATCACTGTACTCATTAAAAGAAGATTTTTGCTGTAATAAATAATAAAGTCATGTTTTAAATAGTACGAAAATTCGAGAAAAACAAGCGAAATAAATTTTAGTTAAATAGTGGTAGCTCTGGTGAATTGTGCAGAAGTCCACCTACCGATTTCGTTGACAGATGAGTTTTATATGTTTATCAACCAAATGGTCAATAAATGAAAAACGCTATTTATATACATCAGGAAAAATTTGAGAAATAATCCCAGATAGATGTGACAAATATCGACCTCTCTATCATTCAAACATCAATAAAGCATTGTGGATTTTACATCCCAAAGTTTAAACCAAAATAAACAAGAAGACGCCACTCGTAACACTTTCCAAGAGAACTCGCCTCACATTACCGCCAAAACCTGACCCAAAGAATTCAAACGTATTCCTTCCTGCAAAGAATTACCCATCTAAAAATCCGCTCGACTTGAGCGTAATTTTCGGTTAATTGGTTAATTTAATTTAGCAAAGCCCCATGCTGAAAATTTACGGCTGTCGAGGCGCTTACGCAAATGGCTCTTGTTGAAGGACAGCGAATGAAAAAAGCGGCTGAAAATGTGTCTGTACTAACCGAATATTTTCCGGGTACGTAAATAGGCTGCGATTGTGATGACGTGAGACCATGTCCTGTTGAAACGGGTGTTCCACCGACAGGACTGTAGTTGGCAGGTGGAGTGCCCGGCGTAATGGCACTTCGTTCTCGGGGTGAGGATTCTGCCCACTCGATACGACGCAAATCTTCCAGATGACCCAAAACATCCCCGTAGTGTGTGCTGAACAAGTCGGCATATCGTGATGCCAAACCCTCGAGATACCCTCGTTCGCCGTCCTGGAAATAAACAATTCATGCTTAGTCGCAACCAAGACGCAAAGGGAGGTCGCGCGGGAATGCAGTTTACGCAAGGAGATGAGATCGGAAAGATGGTAGCTGGTTTTTTTACTAACGAGAATATTTACTTGAATTTTTAACGTTCAGTCGGTGAGTTGCACTAAAGAAATCGTGCGATTTTTTCCTAGGTTTGATCGGTCAATCCGAGAGACACATACACTAGGCGAAAATTAAAATTTTGAAGTTTTCGTTGTTATTAATTTGGCCACATTTAAAATTTTGTTTCGGGCGCAAGCAGGAAAGAGAAACTAGCGAGGAAATTGTAAATTAAGCATAGAAGGTCGTTGAGCGAAATAGTAATTTCCAGCGGCATTGGCTAAGATGAGATAGCGGTTGGAGAGGTAGCTGTGACACTATGAAGTTTCCAGGAAAGAATCAAGGTTTAGCCCTTTAAAGCTGAACAATTTGGAAATTACTATCTGGAAAAATCAAACATTAAATTTTATGTTTAGTGTTAGGTTATAAGGTTCGTGCAGAGCAGGAAGCTAGAGAGATTACAACGATTTTCTCTTGAAAGTAGTGAAATCATTTTCACTATCGAAGTAGAACTTGCAGAATTAACAAATAGAATTTTTGTAGGTACGTAGTTAATTTAAAATAGATCAAATTCCCAGATGTTCACATCCATAAACTGTGCTTCTATGTTCTTGGAGAAGAGATAGGTTACTGAATCATATTATACTTGTGACGGGCTGAAACACCTTTTTTATTGTACAGAAAAAAAAGCGTTAAATGGAAGTCGCATTCTTCATCAGAAGCAGGAGCAGAAGCCCCATTTTTCAATAACCAAAAACAACATCCATTCAAACTTATCTACGAAGGTTTTCTATTTTTTCAAACATGTCCAAACACTGACAGAAAAAGACTACCCACATGTAGTTGGAACAATTGATATTCTTTCATTACTGCCCCTGTTTACAACGCATGGAAACTGTGTATCTGAACCGAACCCAAAAGAAAATACAAAAAACTTTAAACTTTGTGCCAACAAAGTACATCACACAAAAACGAACCAAATACTTTCAATGACACTAACGGGAACTCGGAGTTCGTTCTGTTAACTTATCCGAACTTCTATCAGCAAGGCTAACAAGATTGAACAACTTTCTCCTGGTAGAATTAATGTTATTGTGTTAAAATTAAACAAACCTACCACTTGTTGCTTGCCACTGGATGGATACAGATGACTTCGTTACGAAAATGTTAAATCAATGGAGGCACAACCTCACAATGTCAAAACATTAGACAGAACTTCTCTCGTCCTTGACGTACAATCAAACAAATCCAGATGTTAAAAAAAGACCATACTAGTCACAGTGTAATAAAAAAATAAGTGGCCCATCGGGGGCGATATTTCCGTTGTTAGCACACCCCATTCCGTCTGAGCCTTTGAGAGCTTCTTAAACAGCAGTCTTATATCAGTACAAAATGTTGCTATACAATATTATGAAGTTGCGAAAATCTGTATGAAAAATCAAGGCAGATTCGTAAACCACAAGTATAGGCGTATGTTATTGCATAAAACGTTGACTATCTTCACGATATTCCACGCACATATAAAATTTGACAAAAATAGATGTTTTCGGAGATTATCAACACAGATGACAACGGGCGACCTATTTTTTCGTATTTTAGGGACCATGAAACGTCGAGAAAACATGCAAATATCCATTCGCCCGATGGACCCTATCATAAAACTTCTCTTCGCCTACGCTTGTAAAGTAAAATGAAATAATAAGAATGAAAAGATATAGCACAAGCCAGAAAGAAAAACAACGTGTCTTATTAACATTCAATTACAAGACAATGTCGTCACATAATCAAAATTCTTGCAATGGTTTGCAAAAATTGTTAATCAATAATACATTAGACACATTTTTTTTTAATAGGAGATGAACGAAAACATGCCCTACATACATTGCCATGAATGTTTGAGAAGTGTATCATTCAGATTCGTTTCATATTAGTCCATCATTAATGAACCAATTTTTTGTTAATGTTGACTATTTGATTTGGAGACTCCCTAGTGGAAACCAAGCAAACAGCAATCTGTTCTGACCATAATTTTGACTGCCATTCACGAATAGGATGAAAAGTAAAAGGTTTAACACGCTGTCCTGAGGGACATGTTCTAGAGTTTCTATTTATTTTAATTTAAATTGTTTTTTGAGAGGCTTGACTCAAATCAAACAAAAAAATAACTACACTAAGTATTTGTTACTTAGATCAATCAATATATAATACACAATGTTATAGTGGCCATTTTGATGTCTTTTATTTCCTGAACTTGAATTGACAACTTGAAAGGGTAGAGAGAAGACATCAACCTTGCATAAAATATTTTACTGTATTTTAGAAAATACAAACAGAAGCAGTGACATATTTGTAATTGTCTAGAAAGTTACCCAAATTAGAAGGAATTATTTCTTAAATAAACTAAAGGCTCGGTTATACCCAGAGATCAATAAAAAACACGATCAAAGGCAGCCATGGGTTTTTGAAGATTTATCTTTGATAGAATTTTCGTTTTTCAAATTACCGTCAATTTGAAAGTTTGAGTTGAAGATGCAATCAATCAAAGACAAACTTTCACAAATTCATGAATGTTTTTGATCGTGTTTTAATTGCTCTCTCGGTACGGAGACTATAAATGATTCCTGGTGTCAAGAGCGGTTGTGAAATGTCAAAAAATGTGCCTCACTGCAGCAAATTTTTTACAAAAACTTTTGTGTTTACAGTGGTTGTGGGGAATAATCGTTGTAGTAAGACATTTCAGGTTGTGTATAATGTTGTTTCTACCTCTAGTCCCATCTTTAAACTTTTTATAGTTTGTAAAATAAGCGGAATACTAAGAAACCCGAAGTGAACAAGAATGTGTTAAGTAATAATGTTCAATAACACATAGTCAACTGCAAAGGTAAAATTTACCCAATATTTTCCACTTAAAAAGTGTCAACGTTACGGTACTGTACCTTTTTTTCTTATAATCGTGTGAATCACGATTTAATTTTTTATGGCTTCAAAGGGAATTCTTGAGGACGCGGTAATTGGCGAGGGCCATAGAGCGAACGTTGTCCTTTAGGGGAAAAAATTCAGGACACTACACTGTAACACAGTAACTGCGACAGAACCGTCATTATATTTTTAACATTTTTAAAAAATTTTGTTGTGTTTAGTTTCTTAAAACTTTTCACAACAGCTGCGATATACACAATATCAGAAATGGAAGTTATAAATAAAAAAGAATTTACAACACAAATGAGTAATCTAAATAATAATAAAATTGGTCGTTATTTCAAAGAACTTCTGCCGTATTTTATGTATGAGCTTAATGTGGTGGAAAATATTGCACAAAAAATTTTGCAAAGTGATTATTGTTATAAAAATCAAGACAGATTCATGAACCACGAGTATAGGGGTACATTATTTTATAAAATTTAGATGATCTTAACTACGCAAAATAATGATGGAACGTTACTGAATTCTTGATGTTGGTTAGATAAATATTGGTTAACGTTTTACCATTAACAGGTAAGTTGGAATTTCAAGTGATGTACACAGCTTCCTCATAAGACTTAACCTTGTCCTTCCAGTGTGTTTTTATGTATTTTTTTAAACGTTTCAAAATTAAAAACACTAAATTTGCAGCAATCTTCCTCTTATTATTATTGTTATTGTGATATATTGATTTTACGATGATAATTTTTTTACGCTTGTATAAATGAACGTGACGAAAAATAAGAATAGTATGTCAACAAAGCAAAAAACCAACATTTCAAACTGGTCCTAGAAGCGTAATATTTTCTAACACTTATTTAAGCAATTCCTTTGCTGTACCCTGCGCTGTACATGTTTTATGGAAAAGTAACGCTTTTCCAATTCCATTGGTCCGTAAAGAGCCGAAGTTCGTTATTTTATTACTGTATAAATTCCATTACCGGTAAAATGTAGGACAAGCGCACGCTCTGCATCTGCAACAGCACTAAAATAACCCAGAATTCAAAACAGTGGAAGGAAAAGTTGCAATTTGATTCGTCGAAAGCACAATTGAAATTTGCCCTTTTAGTTATTTATTAAAAAAAAAAGTCTTAACAAGCTCCGCAATAAGCATTTCATATCACTTGTAGTTTTTGTACCAGTAAAGAAAAACTGCGCTACACAGCATATTTGCGTCTGTGACGAATTTTATTTTTTTGCTTTTGATGCTGTTAGTTTTGTTTCGGTGCCATTCTCCGTTAATTATAATGTAAAAAATCCTCCTTTGAAACGTTCAAATAACAGAAATATGCATGTACATATCGAGGGAATGCTTGCTGAATTTGATGTTGAAAGTATGTCGTGACCCGGCGCATCCACCATATGTGACACAAATATAGTAGAGCACCAACTGTTGAAGAAAAACAGAGCTAGTTTTGGAGCTTCGCTCGGATGCTGTGTATTGTTCGTAGCGAGTCTTATGTAGTCACAAATAAGTTTATTTAAAAGGAACTTCATTAACATGTGGAAAGGGAATTTAAGGGCAAAGGGTTGATGATACACCGTACGACCCTGTGCTCGTCGCTTGCAACCCTTTTACATAGTTTGAACCGCTATATGCCACGTGACAAGCATTTACATAGTTCTCTAATACGTCACCTAAATTAGGTTTAATAAGAGACAGTTAATTAATACCAGCGAGATATTTCCGAGTTTACAAGTCAAATAAAGTCACTGTCGTGCAGCGAGCGTCTGCTCCCCCTACAAACAACTGTTTGTTTCGAAATATTAAAAAATTAAACGATTCATAAAACAAATATTGAACTATCATCGTCTAGAAATTGACACGAAGCAGTTTTATGTCTCGCTCGTAAAAGTTTAAAGGTTTTTATGGCAGTTTATTGGAGTGCTTTGCAAAATTTTTAATATTCCAGGTGATCCCAAATGGGAAAAGTTTCAGTGCG